AGCACCGACGCTGTCGACTTTGTGAACATCATGAGTAAGCATTTCGTCTTCGCGATCCCATGACATTTTGAAGACAAATTTCTAATTCAGTTCCATAGGTTACGAGTAAGTCCTAGCTTCCAAGATGTGCCTTGCCTTGCCGATTTTGGAGAACCGTCCACTCATGGGAAAGCTCGTCATCTGATAGTCCCTGGCTAACCTGAGACAGTCTTCACGGCGTTTGGGATGCCTGGAACCCCATCGGTTCCAATGTTCTCGCGCACTCAAACCTCACTGAGATCAAGCTCGCACTTGACCTGTACTGGCGCAATGATATCCCTCCCGAGAAGCTCAACCTTGGCATTGGTTTCTACGGTCGCTCTTTCGAGCTGACGGACCCGGCTTGCAACAAGCCTGGATGCCAGTTCCGCGGAGGTGCAGCTCCTGGCCCGGTATGTTGATCTTTTTGCACTTGAGCATGGATGCGTTCATCGTTTATTTACTGACAGTCTAAAATCAGTGCACTGCGAATTCTGGAACGTTGGCGTACCGCGAGATTGAGGATATCATAAAGAAACACAACCTCAAGCCGTACTACGACAAGGAGCACCAGATCAAGTACATTGTTTGGAACCAGAACCAATGGGTCAGCTACGTATGTTAAAAGTTCCTGTCACATCGAATTGAGGTCAGCACTCGTGAAGGACGGCGTATACTGACATTCTCTAGGATGACCCTGAAACTATCGAGGCCAAGATCGACTTTGCGAACGAGCAAGGTCTTGGTGGCCTGCTGATCTGGTCGGTAAGTTGACACACCCATATTCATGCCATCTGGCTTCCCGAAGGACATGGAGGCACATCGAAATCATGCTTGGGTATTGATTGGTCTTCAGATTGACCAAGACACGGACAACCTAGACGCCCTAGGTGCTGTCGTTGGCCCAACTACTAAGGCGTTGGCTTTGCGACAAACCCTTTCTGAAGATGGAGCGGCCACATGGGAGCAGCTAGGAGCCCAGAATTGCTACGTCACTGGTTGTGGAGGCAAGTGTGATAAGGCTGGCTTCAAACCCGTCACGACTCAACCGTGTGGTGATGCTACGTTCTTCACCCGACACTCCTCCGAGGAAGACAGCACGCTCTGCTGTCCCGTCAACTCTGCACCGGATCCGAAGGATTGTAAATGGTAAGACCATCACTTGCCTTTAACGCCTCAAGGCATGTCACTCATAGACATACAGGAGAAGTCAAGGCGACGCGCCGACCTGCAATGGCCGTTGCGAATTCGGCGAGGTCGGCCTCCAGATGAACAAATGGGGCGACGGCAAGTACTGTGAAGACGGCCACAAGATGTACTGCTGCAAAACCAAGGCCGAGAATAGCGACGGCGACAAGTGCAGATTCCATGATAATGGAAAGAAGTGCCCGAGCGGACAAAAAGCACTCACCTTCTCCGGCGCGTTCGGAAACGGCAATATTGGCGAAAAGTCTCCGGATGTCGATCTCAAACACCTCCAGAGTCTCACGGGCACGTCGCTCGAAGACGCCTTAGACGAGTACACGTGGAAGAAAATCAGCCTCTGGTGCTGCGACGACGAAGAGTTCAAGAAGTGGAAAAATTGCGAGTGGAAAGGCAAGCCCGGAAGTTGCTTCGACGCTCACTGCGACCTCAACACGGAGGTCATGCTCACCTGGGCCGGCGCCGGTGGTGGCGAGATGTGCTTTCCGCATCCCGACCCCCATCGCGCGCGAATCTTCTGCTGTGATCCACCTAGTGGCTCTAATCTCTTCCTCCCGGCGGCCCTGAAGGACTTGTTTCCCGATCCCCCTACCGGAAACGATGTCAAGACCAAGGGCAACACAAAGACAGACGACACCTGGGGCGGCTCGCAAACCGGCGGCAGCGACGACGACCCAAACAAGTCTGCGATTCAATTCTACGTCATGGCTAGTCCTACAGAGATCCAGGTCACCCTCGACAAGCGCGACGGCTCCCACTGGGAGCTCTTTAACTGCAACGATGCTCACTCTCTTAGCGCCCAGACTGTTCAGATGGTGTGCATGAACGATTCCGAGGACAGCAATTGCAAAGAGCTTTTCCTCGGAAACGGTGCATCCGGAACCATCATCGAGATGCCGCAAGATCAGGGCTGTGGACCGGGTAAGTATGCCGTTGTTGAAAGCCTGGAGGTTTCCCATAACCAGACGTTGCCGGGACACCTCACTCGACGAATGGCGAGCCTGCCCGTTATCTATGATCTCAAATTTGGCTACAACTTCAAGCTTGTCCCCAGAGAATACGGTGACACACAGCTTCGTATTGATTACTCGTGAGTGCCCTCATTCTTCAGACTTAGTGGTTTATCCTAACCTACGTCCTCTACAACAGAAACCAGGAAGGCTACTGGGACCACATCGTCACCCGCCCGGTATCGAAGAAGCGCAAGCGATCTCTCGAAGAATTTGGAGGCAACCACAAGAGATGGCTCGAAGAGGAGTGGCGTGACGATAATCACTTTGGCGGTCTGTCGAAGAAGGACCTGCATAAGCGATGGTTCGGTGACGACGTCCTCGAGTGGCTGGAGAGCCTCGTCGAAGTCGAGATCGTTAAGACGGAGAAGCGCCACCTCTACGAGGAAGACCTCTCCGCAGTCTTGTTGCGAGACGAGTGGGACTGCGGCGAGTTCAAGGGCAAGATCGACGCCATTGCGACCGCCGGCATCAAGATGGCGACGTCTTTCGGGTTTGCCCTTATCACGACGCTCAACTCTGAGACCGGCCTGGATCTCAGCAAGTCTTACTTGCATTTTGCCAATAAGGTATGTTGCCATTTTCGCCTCTGTCCTCAAGTCTTTTCACGCATAAGTTGTCATTTTTTGTGGGATTCATGAGACTTTGAGCATGTACTAAAGACCTTACAGGGAAGCGTAAATGCTGTCTTCACCCTCGACGCTAGGATGTCACTACACTGGGACTCCGAAGCGTTCAACATCGCTCCCATCTATTTCCAGGGCGCCAATTTCGTTATTCCTGGATTCGGTTCGCGTAAGTAACTTCCGAAATCTTAGAGACAATGCAAATCGAAGTAGCTCACTGACAAAAAAATGTTCAGTTGGTCCTCGCCTCGATCTTCGAGGAGAGATCAAGGCCGACATCACAGTTGAGGGCCGCGTCGAAGCCAGGGTCAACATCGTTGATTGGGACATCCAGCAGACCTACCCCCAACACGATGAGAAGTTCGACCCGAAGGAACTTTCAGAGGCCAAGCGGGGCATTGACAGGAGAGATCTCGCCGAGCCCACCTTTGATGCCGAGATGAAAGGCAACGGAGATGTTGAATTCCATTTGATGCCCACCATGGTCTTCGGTCTTGAGTTTGATGATGTCTGGAGCATCGCCACCACCGATGTCGAGCTCGTGGCTGACACCTGGGTCCGCATGAGGGTCGATTCCGATCTCGACTGTGGCTTCGGCTATGGTGTGGATGCCGGCATGTCTCTCATTGCCCAGGCCAAAATCCCCGAGATATTCAAGTGGACTCCTCAGACGCATACATTCAAGCAGGTAAGTAGACCCTGAGATGGCTGTCCAAATGAGCAAGTTGCATGGCGCTGACCAATATCACTCAGATCGAGAAAAATCTCATTCCCGGAAATGGCAAGGAGTGGCAGTGTACATCAGGCGCAACTGAGCGACGCCTGATCGACTCTGGCTTCAATTTGACCGAGGTCACCGACATGGAGCCATCCTCCATCTCGCCCCCCAGCCTGCAAAGGCGAATTATACCCTATGAATCAGATACGAAGCCCAACAGCAAGGAGAAGACATGCCCTCCCAAGGGCGGCGCCGAAGAGCAAAAGGCCTGTAACGAGATCACCGCCGTGGATGGCTTCTACGAGGGCGAGGACGATGGTTCGTGGGGCGCCGTCACCAAGCGCTCCGTCGCCATCGACGATGACTTCACCGGCAACTCGAGCACGAACCCCGCGTACCAATCAGGCCTCTTTGACCGCGACTTGGAGAAGCGCGCCGGCAAGACTCTTGCCGTCTGCACAGGTACTGCAGTCTACAACGTCAACTGGTTGGACTGGTCCTCGTTGGACCGTCTAAACATGTTCATCTACGACAGCGACGACTGGTCCGATTGTTCGAACAGTAAGTCTCACTTGTTACTGATGCTTATGCTATAACTTCCTCCATTTTGCCAGCTACATCGACTGACATCGCCCTTTACAGTGGCCAGCAGTATCCAGAAAAGGGGAGAGCAGATTCTCAAAAACAAGAAGGGCGACAATGAACAATACGTCATTGAGCACGTGTTGGAAGCCCAGACCTTTGCACGCTGGCTGAGTATCGAAGGCGCAGATGGGCGTGGAGTGAGAGACCTCTGCCGCGCAATGAAAGCAGGCGGATGGATGAATTATGCACCCGACCCTCTCAATGCCAACGGGGCCAAGGTCAACCCGATCACTTGGGTCGTCCAGCAGGCCTACCCGTCAGCCACGTACTTCCCTCTGGAATTCATCTCCGTCATCGAGCCAGTCAACTGGCAGAAGCAAAAGTCCTTTGGCTCCGGCACTAGGCTCCAAGAGGAGGTCAGCTTGGAGAAGGAGGCCCAGTGGAAGGAAGGCACACCCCTGGATCAAGCACTCCGCACGCTGAAGATCACCGTCGTCACCTTCAAGTATCTCATCGAGCCTGAGCTCTCGGCGCTATACCGCGACCAGGCCGACCGCGTGGGCATAGCCCTGAACGTCATGGAGGATCACTTGGTCAATCAGGGTACCTGGACGAAGCGCAACCTCCAGCAGAGTTGGCTCAGCTTCGTCAAGACCAGCGCCGAGGTCTCGGGAAGCAAGCTCGTCAAGTTGCTGGACACGTACATCCCGAGGGCGGAGAAGGTCCTCCAGGGCACCGACGCATCAAAGGATGACGATGACAGGAGGAAGAGGAGAGCCACTATCCAAGCGCTACGGACCGTCTACGATAATGAGATTAAGGGTAGATGGGTGAACCCAATGCCGTAGATAGCTTCATTAACTAGCTAGATCTATAAAACAAACACGATGTGTCCTGTGCACTCGTTTAGGAGTATACCCTTGTAATCGAAGAGGATAGACACTCAAGGCTCTGGTACTCGCTCCAACATGTGTATTGTGAAACGTCAAATTTCAACTATCCTTTCCAAATCCATGACCAGGTCAGCAGATACCGTAGACATTCCACTTGAAGTAACAAAGAGACGAGACGATGAGTCAACCCCTTAGTTCATCTGCATGAGACTAATGAAAAGAATCAGGTCCATCCCATAAAACGCATCCACCAGTCTCCTCGATCGCGCTGATCAGATCAGGAGGCACTGTCCAGGACGGGTCAAAGCCTTGCACGACCGTGAGAATCCATCTTGACCGGCTGGCATTGTCCCGTTCGAAATCTCCTCGGTGATTCGACTCCCTTTTTGCCGAGTCATTCTCGACCCCCGGTGCAAAGTACTCGACGAAGAATGGCGACGGCTGCGTTTGAATCTCGTATCTTAGAGTCCGGAGTGGTGACATCTTGAGTGTGGTTCTGACGAGAGATAGTATGTAAGGCACAAAAACCTCGGTATCGATCGAAGTCCTCCACGAGTTCGCCGGAAAGTTCCCTGCTTCTCGTTCCCATTCATGCTCCGGAACAAAGTCGGACGTATCCGAGTCCGCAGAGTCAAAAGCAGCCTCAGAGGCGTCTGAGTCTGAGTCTGGCTCATCCTGGTAAACATCGTCCTCTTCTTCCCCGATGCTGAGCCATTTCCCATCAGGGGTCGTTCCGCTGCTCTCGATATTCACCGACTCTAATAAGGACCCGAAGTCCGTTGCCGCCTCAAAAGCTGTAGGGGCAATAGTCCAGAGACCTGTGAGCTGCACTTTGGCGATTGCAGGTAGCTGTAAGATTCTGCTGATACCCAACGAAAGAGCGTCTTCCTCGGGACTCTGGCAAAACGCCCCGGGGTCGGAGCTATCGTTCAGCGGATCTGGATCTTCGAGATAGATTTCAAGGCTTTTGAGATTGGTGAAAGTACCATGCTTCAAGGTCTGTGCGAGAGCAAGGCGAATTTCCTTTCTTGAAGACTCGTGACGGCGTGAGGGCATGATGCAGTCCCACGTCAGAGCTTTGAGGCTGGGGAGTGCCTGGGATATGATAGAGATGCAGGCGGGGTAGAGTCGTCTTTTTACGTTGCTGAAGTCTTCCCGAAAATCTAAGTTGGAGATGGCCCGAACTTGTGCGAGGCCCGAAGCAGTAACCACACTCTGATCGAAACTGATGTACTTGAAGTCGTTACGCACATCCCATATTGGGCTGCCAGAGTGGCTGCTATCCAAGGAATCAAACAGATCCTCGTCTGTATCCGAAGGGGAAGCGACTCTTACGATGAGAGTGATTTCACCTGTCTCCCAATCACTTAGACCTTGGAAAAGGTCCACGATGGCTTGGGTAAAGGCAGCATTGTTGGCGGCAGCTTCACGGGTACTTTGGAGCTTCTTCATACGCTTCTCGCCGACAGGTGGCAGATTGACGGTGAAATGAAGTCTCTTGACGACTTCGCGGCGACTGGTCTGAGATCCCGAGAAGTCATTTCGAAACTGGCGCAAAGAGTCTTGGCTGCTTGTGATGCTGACATCCTCAAACGCGCCGTCTTCCGATGGTGTGGGTTGAGCCATTTGGACTGAGCTTCCCTAGTACTTTCTCAGTGAATATCTTTTTCCCGGCAGTTACACCGAATTACTTACAAGATTTCTTTTCGAACTGTGTGAAGGAGCGAAGTGGCTGCCTGACTGGGATGGTTCGCAGAAATCCCTCGGAGAGGGGTTGTACTGCTGACTAAGAAGTGTGACAACCCTCCAACCCCCCTGGTTGCCAAGAGTATGCGTCTATCGCCGATGCTTGTCTGATAAGAGGCAGTCTTCCTTACCATTTGACGACAAGCCCATGATAAGTGTCAAATCGCCCATCCACCAAGTTTGGGCAGGAGATCCCTTGAAGTCTTACCTGGGTGTGTTAAGAAAGCAAGTCCAGGGCTACCAAGTATCGCATTCCAACATCACCTTCATTTTCGGGTACCTCGTAATAACATGCGCTTTCCCGGTGCAGCATGTACCGAATACGGTCGAACCAAAACAAAGAATCGTTGAAACAGACAATATGCTCTAAGCGGAACAAAATACTCAAGCTTAAGTACTTTAGTGTGACTACCAAAACCAGATTGCACGCGATGTGTGAGACGCGGCATCCACTACCAGCAGCAAGACTTCAAGTTATGGAGGTTCAAAACACATGAGAGCGAAGCCGAACCCCGTATCAGCACTCGCAATGAATATACTACCACATCTGTCAGAAGAACTATAGCCGACAACTCGAAGTCAGGTGAGGGTGAGACAGAACATAATTGATACAATTGCCCGCATAGGCCATGGGCGACAAGGTTCAACATGAATCAACTATGGCGGCCGAGGAAGCCCAGCTCATGCGCAACGATAATCCAAATTTATTCATACAGGAGAACGCACGAGCTCGAGATCCAATCATATTTATTAACCTTGCCATCAGACGTTCAAACAACTCCGGAGAAGAATGTGTTCTGGCAATATTTCATCACCGTGTCATGCCGTAAATTCCAGTGTTGGGACGGAGCTCCAACCAAAGGTTTCCGCGATCCACTGGGATGACTTTCATCGTCCATGGCCACCGGCAATGACCCTATGAGGCTAGCTGCACTTGCATTCTCAGCAAGTGAATATTAGAGAACTAGATCGTTGGACGAGTCGAGATTTTCCACCTTTCTGCTGAAGCACCAAGCTTTATTTGCCTTATCATCGAGTCATTGCACTAACTCAATCAGCGCGGAAGATCCCTTTCTTTCAATGGCAGCATATTTGTGGCTCTTTCGAGTCAGCAGAAATGATGAGGTATCGAATCAGAGTTTCTTGTCGCTGGCTCGCAGTGCGTCATCATGCCTGCAAGCTCCAGACTTTTCAACTAGCAAGCCAGGGCAACCGGTTCAAAATCCTGGTCGCAATGCTGATCGCAATGCTGATATGGACGAAATATGCAGTCTCATCCTGCTCCATCCGAATGCGTGCAGCGAACTTGGCTCCTGCATCGACACAGTTAGGTAGGTATATTGGAAGAAATTAAGACAGTGATAACATAGAATAATGAGGAAGAATACGTGTTTCATTATTACCCTTAGACAGAGTGAGTAGCTATGTACTGACGCCATTCCGCACTCGATAAGATATATGGTGATTTATCAATGGATTCATTTGTCGGTTCAAGTTCGAATTATCAAGTAGGCTTATATAACCGTGTTCAGTACGGTTGTCCGAAACGTGTTCCAGGATAGCATACTCCGTACAACCCTCACACCGTGTCAAAAATTGACTGGTTACGTCTGGTCGCAGAGATGTGGCCCATGACTAGACTGAACCATTCGGAAAGTAATTGTCGAAGATCGTTAAACCACCAAATAAACCACCAAACTCCACAATAAGCATTATTGACCGGTCAAGTTCTCGGTACGTACGAGAGGTACGGAAGACGTTTAAGAGAATTTATCCATCAGATAATGTCAAAAAGCAAGCAATAGTTGCCCAGACACCGGGAAATAATATATATTGATAATTGATACCCCTAGAACTCCTCCATATGTTCCGATCCCTAAAAACCTTGAACCCAGTCAAGGAATCATAGTGATTAGAAGTGAGTGTTAGTATTCCTATCATAGGGATGGTTCGAACCGTAGGTAACGAAGAGGTCAAAATCTATATATATTTAACTTCTACATAAGGTGTAAAAAGGAGGTTCTAACCGGAGGTTAGGTAGACCGTAGATCTTATAAATATAGTCTGTAAATAGCCCCTACGCAGGCCCCTTACCTCGAGGTTAAATTGGACTTCTAATCTAATACTAACTATCTCTCTCTTTTATTACCTAATTACGGCAGTTAAAAATATAATTCGATCTCGGGCTCCTTTATTAAGGCTACCCCTTTTTCCTTTTTCTTCTACTCCTTATAGGTTATTTATCCCTCTATCCGTATTATCGCCCTTTTTTTACCGATAAAGTACTCGAGCCCTTTATTAGGCGTTACTTTTATAAAAGTATCCGCTAGATTATTATCCCTATTAATCCAATAGATCTCGAGGATTTTGCGGCGCTTATATAATTACTAGAGGGCCATAATATCTATTATTAACCTCTTCTCCTTTATAGTACCTAATTTAACGAAGTATTTATATAGCAAGTACGAATCGGTATAGACGATTGTCGGTATTATAGGGATATTAAGTTAATCGGTAATCCTCTTTAGTATCGTTAAGATCGTATATGCGATGTCGATGCCGTTAACTATACTATAGACCTTTAAGGCAAGTATATTTTATATAACCTTTTTACTTTTTATTAATAAATAGTGGATAATATTATTGCGGATCGTAAAGTTCTCCTTTTCTATTACCTCGTTAATAAGGATTATCATATATCCTAATTACGATATAAGGTCGTTATTATTCGCAAATGAGCCGTTAACGAATATATAGAGCTTTACCTCTTTTAGGTCGATGGGTTAATATATAAGCCCTTTATCGAGGTTTATTTGTTACTATTATAGCCGTTGGTTAAGGGTATTAAAGTTGCGTTCTATTAACAAAGTGGCCTATACTGCCCTTATATAGTTGAAAGTAGCCTCTAGTTAATAGATATTTACGATATAAGCTCCTTATACAAGCTCTGTTTTATACTACTTCTAGTAGTCGGTTGCCCTTAGGTTAATAAGAGTGATCTTTTTGCCTTACCCTTTCTATCGGAAGATAATATTCTTGTCCTTAATCGTAAGGATCCTGCCGTTAAATATAAGTAGTGTATCCTTTATAAGGATCTTTTTTAGCTTAGTAATAAACTTTGCTTTCTCTAGCTCCTTATCCTTTTTCTTTATAAAGGCCGTATTAAAAAGCTTTAATATATCGTCGGTTTATATTCTAACGATTTTAAATAGATCGTCTATATATACAGAAATTAAGAAGTAAGGATCGTACATCGACATAATTATTAAAAGCTTATTGATATAGAAATTATAGTATATTGCCTATTAATAAGTACCTAACTCTGCGAGGCCGTAGAGTAGCTTTAATACTTTAATAATCATATCGTCTAGGTATTTACTTACTATTTCCTTTAATAAATAAGCCAATATCTTCTTCGTAAGCCTTATTACCGATTAGGTATATGCCTAGGTGATATCACGATTCTAGATCCAGTATCCTTTTTACTATAATAATGCCATTAATACTATCATTAATCGTTAGCTATAGCGCTAAATTATTAGCGACTATATAAGCAGTACCGCCTTTTTAACGTTACCGTAGCCTTATATTATATACCTTGATTTCTCATACGGCTAATTTGTCCTTTTTCCTTTGATCTTATAGACTATTTACGACTTAAAAATACGGAGGTTTATATACTTCTCTAGATCGTAAATGATAAATCTATAGACCCCTCGATCGCGTAATATATCGGCTTTAATAAGGTCGGAGCCTTTATACGGTCGTCCTATAATTATAATTATTCCTTATTCCTTTAGCTTAACCGCTATTATAAAATCTACTTTCTCTTTAGCCGTATAGAAGATAGTAATAGCCTTAGTGTTAGATATGAATTGCTATTAAGGTACTTTTTAGGGTCTTCCTCGGTATCTTATTTATGGTAGGGGTACTAGTTCTTTTTCTACTTTATTGTTTAAGGGTGCTACGATAATAATCTTATTAAGGATGGTTTCCTACCCTTTATTGCTTAGTTATCCTTTATCGTTTTATTAAGGTAGTTCCCCTAGCTCTTCTTCTTTTTATAGGTTAGAAATCACTCTACTAGGGTCGACGTAGTATAATCGTACTACAGTAATCGATACCTCTAGTAGTTAGTCTCGATTTTTTACGACAATATAAGATTATTCGTTAATTAAGACTAACTTATATAGGCCTATTTATTGCTTTATAGTTTCCCTTTATATTCGTACTTCCGAATTTAGGGGCATATCGAGGTTGAGGCTTACGTCGGGCCTATTATACATAGTAATAGCTTTATTAACTTACTTTCTAATATTTACCTTATAAAGAGTCTTTATTACTTTCTCGATTACTCGCGCCCTCTAGGTTATATCTAGTAACGGCGGTAAGGCCGTTGTTATTTATAAATATGCTCCGAATATAAGTAGCGTCGGAACGAGCCCTTTAGGTCCTATGGTATTATTATAGTACTTAAGTGCCGTCTAGAGGCATTTTTTATCCGTTAAATTAGGGCTCTCTTTTTAGATAATCTTAAAAGCTCTTTTCAACTGCTAGTATAATCTTTTTACCTTATTAATATTATGGTGTGCTTTAATAGGGACGACTTTTAGTTAGATACTATATGAAGTAGTATTTTCCCTAAATTCTACCGATTTAAAGCTAGTACTGGCATTAGTTCTAATACTATCTAGTGGACCTTAGTATATATCGATCTAACAGCGCTTTAGCATTACCTACACGGTCTTGGCTTATATATTTTAAAGGAATTAGCCTTTTTAGAATAATATAGCTTTATCGATTATATAGAATACTGGTCGACTATTTAAATAAAAGATATTAACGATAATTTCTTAATTAAAATTGAGGTCGTTGTATAATTTAAACTTGAATCTGCACAGGCTCTAGGCGTTTATTTAGTACTGGTGGTATACTATTATTAATTACTCTAGAGCCCTTATTTTTATATCGTTCCCTAAATATTTAAGGAGATTATATAGTCTTATTACTAACAGATAGCCGAATCGTCAATATAGTCGCTTAAATTCACTTTCCGTTAAATAATTAATAGACTTAACATCTAGTTTAAGCTTTATAAACGTATACCTTTATCGTCGATTAACGAGCTCAAAATGCTTTTTATTGGACATTCTATTCCTTATATTATCAAACATAATGCCTAATTTATCTATGTCGTTTAGGTATAGGAGGAATAGTATATTAACGGGTAGAATATAGAAAATCATCATTCTAAATCGTATATTTATATTTATAGTACCTAAGGTATTTATCTCTTCCCCTAGGCCGAAATTAATCCTCACAATGCCTACGTTTATAATGTTAAGGGTCATTGGTAAGATCTTTTGGAGTACGTAGAATTATCCTTTGCCCCCCGTCGATTATTATAATGCCCCGGTATTTAGAATAATCCCGTGGAAGGTTTCCGAGCTATACCTTTTACTAATATAGAATGTTTATATTAGATTATTATAGAACCCTCTTGGTGGGTATAAATTACGTACTTATAAGCCTATCGTTCTTTTTTCTTTCTTAGGCCTTTTAACTTTAGTACGAGCTATGGCTGCGGTATTAGTATTTATGTCCCCCGTGCTGTTAAGTATTATCGTTGGCTAAGGGACCTTCCTTTACTAACTATAGAAGAAAACCTACTTATTTAAGGCTTATACTACTCTCTATCTATTTAGTATTATATATCCTTTTAAAGTTAACGGGGTAAAAAAAGAATAGGTGATATCGTTAATTTTATCGAAGTCGAGGTTTTAAGTATACGGGGTAAGATCTTCCTTACTTTTAAATAACTCGATTATATTCATTAGATAGTCCTTATAGACTACTAGGAATTGGTTGAATCGATTATGGCCCGTCTTACCTTATGTGCCCTTTGCTTTTCTATATTAGTTATACGACTTAGCGTATTCTTTATTAGAGTGGTTACTTGATTAATAACCTTCCTTTTTATATATAAAGTACTTCCTTTTCTACGGTGCTCGGTTAGTATTAGACTAGCGCCCCCCTAAGGAGTCTATTCCTCCCCCCTAGCGGTTACTATACCTTATCTCTCTTCCTTTATTATTATATATACGGTCTACCTAGTATTATTAATAAGGGCCTTTATAAGATTAGAGGTAAATTTAATTTAGTATCCTAGCTTTAATATTAAAGCTAGACCTTAACCTCGAGTATAGCGTCTTATAGTCCTTAAGCAGTTAATATAGAGTTATCTTTACCTTTAATACCCTTTATACTACCATATATAAATAACCGACTTTTTGCTTATTAGTCCCTTTATTTAGCTACGTTCTTGCCAGTTTATCGATCTTATTAATGAGCTTTTTAAGGATCTTAATTCTCGACTTTCCTTCTATTATTCTAGCTATAGAGCTAAATGATAATGCCCTTAGCTCCGAGAGGAGCTCGAGGTTCCTATCTTAGGTCTTGAATCGATTTCGGATTATATTAATAATATTAAGAAAGTCGGTTTGATCGATATTATATACTATTTAATAGTAGTATTTGGTAGCTTTCCCTATTAGTATAATATTAATTACTGAATGATATTGGTATTCTTAGATACCGATTTTTTTATAGTAGTTATAGAATATTATGAGGGTTTCTTATAGGACCTTATATCTCCCCTCTAAGTATAATTTCTTTTTTAGAAAGATCTTTTTTAAGTTAGTAAACTATCTTATACTAGCTACTATTAGATCGTTCTCTTTGTGTACTTCTTGTGCGGTAGCGTAATTGGGTGGTATTTATATTATCGACCTTGTATTTTGTTAGGTGCTTAGGATTAATCCTCGGATTGGTATTGTTGTTAGGGTCGTTATTATAATAGGCGGAATTGTTGTTTAATGCGCCTCTGGTATGATCCCCCTTATCTATGCTAGATTAGGCGCTGCGATGTTATTATTGGTGATTTTTAGCAGAAAGTCCGGTTAGTTTACTCGTCTATTAAATTCTTTATACTTTAATATTGCTTTATCGATCTAATTCTAGTCCTATGGCGTAAAGTCCTCTACGGCTATTATTATTATAAGTGTCTTATAGGCCTTTTACCTTGCCCCTTAGGCTAGTAGAACGCCTTAATAATAAAAAAATCTATTCACCTCCTTAACGACACCGGGATTAGCGTTGGCGAACTATTTATCTTTCTAGTCGCCTAGGTCGTTTATAACTTTATAAAATAGGGGTTGCCCTTTAAGCCCTTTACGGGCGTATATTTTTATAATGAAGATTAACGTTATATTAATTTACTCGCCATTAGGGTAGTCTAAGTCTCGATATAACTATTTCCTTTAGTATTCCGGATTAATCTTAATCTAATCTTTTAGGATGGGAGTCCTTCTGTGCGTTTTATATACTAACTTGCCCCTTATCGTCCTTTAATTTATACTTCTATTTATAAGGGCCGGCATATTTAATTTTAATAAGGATATATTAGATTTATTTATTGGTCGTGGTAGTAATATATTATCGTTATTCACTATATTTATTAGGGTCTAGGAGCTTCCTACGGCCTCTAACCTCCTTACGGCGAGCCTTATTATTATTTATTTTTAGTTTTCTAAATTGGCCGCTATGTTTCTTATTAACGGTTTTTTTTTCCTATAGCGTACCTTATTATATAAAAAAGGTCTTCTAGTGGCCCTTTTTTTATATTCTCTCCTTAAATGTCTTTTTAGTTTTCTCCCATACTAACTGGGGTAATAGGCTTTTTTTTTACCTTTATAGTTTAGCAAGGATATATAGTCTAAAGAATTAGGTACCTTATATCCCTTTATAGGGTGAGCGTTATAATGCTTCTAAATCCCTTTTTTCTTCATCTTAACTCCGCCTAGCTCTTATTCCTTTAAAATAACCGAAGGGTAATAAGTATAAATAAAAAGGGGAAGCTTAACCTTAGAATTTTAAAGTCGGTTTTAATAATAACAATATCGCCATCAATCCCAGTAGCTTCCTCAGATTCGACTAAGAAATACGCCTAAAGCTACCGGTGGGGTCTAGTTCTTACCTAAACACCCTATTATTTTAAAAGTTTGTTTTTATGGTCTTGAGGTGCCTTTTTATATCCTCTAATTAGGCCTATTTCGTTATATGGTCGAGATCTATAGTAGATTTGCTAATCTAGCAAATCTAATAATTTCGCTTATTTTCCTCTATTAATATACGGGCCGCCCGTAAATTATTAAGTAGGACAAATCGCGTAAGGGCAATATAGGTAGCTTAGTCACCTTCTTACGATTTCTTTAATTATAGTTTGTTTTTAATATAATAGACGTCGACCTTTTATAAGTAATTAAGGGCTACGATTCCTCTATTTCGTTCCGTTATAAAGATTTGTGTCTTATTACCTATTTTCTATCGGGTAAGTAGTATAATTCTCCTATTACGTTCTATTTAAGGAGGTCGTCTCTTCTACTTACAAAATGCCTTACTAATTTACGATAGTAGGATTTAACTATTAATCAGTATTGGTATTCTTATTATAAGGATAGTTCGAACTATAGGTAACGAAAAAGTCAAAATCTATATATATTTAATTTCTACATAAGGTATAAAAAGGAGGTTCTAACTAGAGGTTAGGTAGACCGTAGATCTTATAAGTATGGTCTGTAAGTGGCCCTTGCGCGGGCCCCTTGCCTCGAGGTCGAATTGGACTTCCAATCCGACAGTGAGAGCTACTTTACAGATAAAATAATGCAAGCTTTTTGTTTTTTTTTACAAGCGGAGATGTATAGGAGTGTTACTAAACTCTTTTCAATGGTTTGACAGTCTCCATCAACAGAAGTAGATAAGAACGGTCAGTCATAGAACCTAGTGACAAGGGATCCTGACAAACTCTAGTAACAGTGCTCATCTTTCTCTACCCGTAATGGTCAAATGTGATGTTAGTAAGACCTCCTGTCAACTAGAATAATACGCTTACCCACCAAGCCTCCACGCGACGGTACCCGTGAGCGAAATCCCCAGAATCAAAGAAGCTGGTAGCTTCAGCATGATTCACGAGTCGGCGACGAGTATCAGGTCATGGCAAGTAATTTCCCACCATGATGTTGATGCAGTTGCCAAGCCAAAGTTCTGATTGGGCCACGATTCTTGTACAAAGTGATAGTAAGTAAACCTTCGCCGTATTGGAGCCATGCTAAATCCTCAATCTTAGTCACATTGACAGTCAGAATAAAGAATCGGCAAAGAGCATCCGGTGAATCTCGAACCTGATCACGAATAACACAGACGAGAGGAAGAGTCAGTTGTAGTGCCCGAAAAGACTCGCTGGCGCAGTAGTAGGTCAATTTCACGAAAGAAAAAAAAAGGAAAGGAAACGTGCCCCGAGACCCCGACTCCGACACTCCAAACTCGATGGCACCACAGCACCACAACACCAAAACAGAAACATCAACACCGAGACTCCGAAAAAACACAACACCAAAACACACCCAAATTTTGTGTATGAAGTCTCTTAAACGTTACAACGACCCCCGGATGGATGATAGCTGGGTTGTAATGGCCAAGCACGAGGCTCAGATGTCAGACCCCCGGAATTGAAGAGGAATATCGAGCTTGGAGAGCTCGATCACGTGGAAGAGGAACTGGGCGGCTTCGGGGTTAAGGCCCTCGTACTCAGTGGACAAGCCGCCGTCCGGGTGTTGCGCGACGTCCATGGCGGGGGGTGCATCCGTGATCTCGACATCGTCGTGCAGGAACTCGACGTTGATGATCTAGGGCGGGGACTCAAACAACGGGGGTACGGCTGCTAGGACTGGGACTAGGACGCTAGGGGTAGGGGACTCGAGACCAGGGATGATGATGGGGGTGTCGCTCAAAAGCTAGTTCTGGCAGACCGGTCTCTGGCTCTGCGGGATCCTCAACGACAACCTGGGGCTGGGGCTGCTTGAGGGCTGTCACGTTGTCGTAGGTTTGTCTTCATCCAATTCAAAGATGACAACTGACTGTTACAGCGAACAAAATTGATCATGATTTTACAAAAGTTCAACTAAATGAAATGAGTGCAAATCATTGAAATCACATACATGTGGAAGCCTTGGCGATATCAATTGACATAGGCTCCGGGGACAGCAGGTGGTCGTTGTGGCGGGCATTGGCGGCAACACGGACAGCAGGAAGAACATCGGAGGCGGAAAGAGTGGACCCATAGCCGTTGATGAGGGAGGAGAGGAGCTTGGTGCTGGCGGCCTTGAGAGGAACATCACGACCGAGCCAGAGGAACATGGCTTCGGAGGTGAGCTTTAGGGCGTTGACGGCGTTGTGGAACCAGGACACCACATCGACCTTGTAGGCGGGGTCTGGGGACTCTGGTGATGAATGAGAGGGAGAGAGTCTGGTCGAGGTCGTCGGCGTCGAGGTGGGCGGTGACCCAGTCCGGCCAGTCAGTGGAGGCGGAGGCAGCGGCAGCAGCACGCCACTACGAAAGGTGTAGCTGTAAAGTTCGACAATGGATACATTGACCTCGTTGAGAGAGATTGGGACGAAGATACGGATCGTGGCCCCCGCAAGTCAGGAAAGCCCGTTACAGCTGGCGGGATAATATGAAGCCGGTATATGGCCAAAACTCCGGCAAGAATATGAAGAGAGACACCATCGCCAGTGTCATAACTCTATGGAGTTGAAATGTGGTAATAAGATACAACCGAAGAAATGCTAAGCGTTGTGGGAAATAGTCATCCGCAAAGTAGTTTCTCTTCAACGCGAGCCCTCGTAAACCGACGTGTTTTGACACTAAGACCAATGCCACCTTTGTTGCTTAAAGGAGCCACTTTCCATTTTCCATCAACTCAAGGTGATCCTACTTCATAACAAGACAATGAAGGAGTTCTCTGTTGGCGAGGATTACCTCGCAATGAAAGGAAGCCCCTTGCATCGGAAGACATTACACCTTCAGATTGCCGGTGCGTTGCATCTCAACGATATCGCGGTGGTCGGCCTCCTGCATTAGCACGTTTTCAATCTGGCAATCTCACCGCCCGTTGCATCTATCCTCAGTGATTTACCCCGCAGCATTACTTCAACTTCATGTAACAAGATTTCGATAAAACGCCAGGTATGTCGTCCTCCAATCTGCACAACGCAATCTCCGAACCAGACCAAACAGCCAAGCAAGTCACAAGCTAAGCTACTATCGTTCCGCTCGAGATGGCTAAGAAAAAGTCCAACAACCTCAGCGGCGAGACGAGAACCTTATTCACATTCCCACACCTGAACCAAGACGTTGCCGTCGCCGTTTCTGACCATATCCCCCCCGTGTGGTTCAACGGAAAAATCAACCAAGAATCCGACCGGAAATATTCAACCTTCGTGATGGGGAAATTCACTTGCGACAATGGCGGCTGTCCCAATGCAGCCTGGGGTAGCGGGAAGGTGACTATCGTCATTAGAGGATATTCCGACAACGGATACAACGCAGTTGTATACAACCAGCGGTGCAAAGCTTGCAAGAAATTAGGAACCCTTACTCTGGATGAAAAATCGTACGTCGAGCGAGTCGCGTATCGATTGAAGAAATGGGCTGGGGTGGACTTGGAACGCCCTATATACAACAAAAAGGAAACTCCTCCCCACATAAGGGAACTTTGTGAGGGTTGTAAGAGTGGTCATTGTGAGGTCTAGGAGTGTTCAACACGGATTTGATCTGTAAACAGTGACTTGTTACCTTGATAAGAACTGTACCTGTGGGGGGAAAAGCTTTTGTAGGGTATGACTAGAGAGTTTGAGAAAGGAATTAACATTACTCTAAGAATGCATCACCCGGACTAGAAACAGTTCGATACCTCGAAGATCAATTATCTTCCGTCCTAGAGGTTATAAGCGTTAAATTTCCTTAGTACTAGATATATTGAGTGAAATCTTATTTACAACTTATTCAAGGAATCTTTTAATATCCCACTCCCCCCCAGATGTGGGGCCACATCTGCAACCACCCCAACACACCTGCTAATGCCTTAGATGCCTGTCCACCAGGTAACTTCAGTTCCGCTTTACTCGGATACTTTGCTCCAAAAGGGCGATTAGGACTCCAATAGCGAAACCCACCGTCTTCAACGATTCTTTTTGATGACCTGCGTTTTCCCTTGTGTATACACACGATGGGGGTCAACATGTTGAGCCACACCGTACAGTCACAACATGCCTCGTCGCGATTCTGGCCCTTTCGTCACTTTTGGAAGCTGGTGTTGCTAGCTGCTGGTTTTCTCTGCTCACCTACGGACACCATGATTTATCGCAAGTAAGAACTTTTTATTGCTTCCATCACACTTCGACTCGCCAAAGGTTCCCAAGGCCCAAAAATATGTCAACATATAATTTAACATTGTATTTTGACACATGCGTTGCGAGTTACTGACTAACGCACATTACACGTCCCAGAATCTGGTTGTAGCGCGTTGTTGTCCGTGGTCGAAGCAATGTAGGGCCAGCTCTACCATCAGGACGCAGCCTGCGTAGGATGAGATCTCCTGCCATTGGTCGGGACGTATTTCCGAAAGAAATGGTATGTTGACTGGGACTAAATCGGATCTAAGTAGCCCTTGTGAAGACATCTTTAGTCGGAAATTTCGGACAGCACGTCAGTTCAAGCAATTTGTCAAATTCGTAGATTGATACTACGTCGGTCATACCTTCACGTCACCCAACTGACACTGCCACCCTGCTCGTGTCTTTACGTAGCTCTGCAATATATAAAGCTCCCAAAAGGTACGACGGCGTTCTTCCAAGACCACGGGGTCATCAGTAGGCGGCAAACGTGAAAGGGGGCCACTCGGTCCTCCGTCATCCTGTGAAGGCTCGCTGTCATCGCCCTCCTCCATCCGATGTATACGGAGAAGCCTGCAAAGCAGAGCAGCACGCCCCAGAGTAAGCCAGCTTCTTTCTAGTTTCCGATCCATGGCCTCAAAACGACCGATCAGTAACAGAGCCTGTACAAAGTTGATGTCGTTCAATCCGCCTTCGCGCTCGCACTTCTCCGCGTGATTGCACGCTAGACTATAGCAAGTAGACTGCCGGTTGGCGTCTTTGGGAGAGTGCGTGCAACCAGCGAGGGCCACGGCGTACACCAGCGCGCTCACCGCAGGCCCGCTGCCGCCCGTCGAATCAGCCAAGAACCGGTCTCGATTAAGGAACGGAAAGGAAAGGTAGATGGAATTGAAGTAGTGGTTGTGTAATGTGCTCAGTTGTGCTGGTGAGATTTCTTCTTCGGGGCTACTGTTAGATAACGATTGCGGTGAGAGGCGATTGAGTGTCCAAGGGTTCGAGCGCCGCCAGCGAGTGATTTGTCCAATCGAATAACCTGCTAGTGTCCTCGCCTTTGGTGAATGAGGTGAAAAGATCAATGTCGAGCATGGATGAGTTAGTCGTAGGCAGATCGAATGCGGCACTCATGTTTCTAGATTTATCTATATTCACGGGTGTGCTGGTAGTCGATGGTCCTAGAGCCGGAGCGATTTGGGTCTGTAATGTTGTTATTGGTGGTAGTTGGTACTGAGAACTTCGTTGCGAGCTTGTATTGAGCGTGATTGTATCCGGTGTTTCTGGCCAATGCGATGCGACGGTTTGTTCTGCGGTGCTTGACTGCGATTGTGGGGGTAATAGTAAATAACCCCGAGGTGTGTTAAGTACGAGCTGGGCCTCGGTCTTGGCGAGACGGTCTTGGAGCTGTAGTAGTTGCTTATTTCGTGTCCTATGTTGATGGGTATGGTTGTAGCTGTACGGCTGGTTGAGATGATCGTATTGTCTTTAGATAAGTATGAATGTTTAGCTTTATGGTTTAAAGCTTGATATGGGCGCGATGTTAATTGTAAGGTATGTATGAATTTAAGCTGGTGGAGTTGTAATATATCTGTATTTTGGTAGTCCTTGATTATACCGGATTTTGCGTTCTTTATAATGTCGTGCGGTTAGCGGTGTGGTATTGATTGATTTTTATTTAGGTGGACGGAAATCTTGCCTGTAAATTTTATAAGTATGATGTGCTGTAAAGGGAGTCCTATTAGAGGACGGTCTTATTGTGTTGACTATGTGAGTTTGTTGTTTGCGAGCGTCTTGCTGTGGTGATTAGTTGGTTAAAGCGAGCTGGTCTTGGTCTAAGTTAATATCCGGGTGCGTTCGGTATGATATTTATGAGATGGTGTAGTATGGGGGAAAAACCTTTGACTTATCGTCCTTGGTAAGCGATGTGACGGTAAGGCTGTGCCCTAGATGTGCCTCCCTGTATTTAAGCTACGTCTAGGGTTTTATATACTAATTGCCGATCCTTCCCCCCTTAACTGTGTATCTGTATGGAGTACTTAGGATAAAGGATCGTTTGGGTGTATAGTTCGTATATGGAAGCGATAATTTTGTGTGATGAATAATTTGATTAATAAATGACATGTTGACTCGTCCCCTAGCGGCTTTTTTGGGATAGATCTTCTATCTTCCGGAGCTATATGGCGAAATTCTGCAGTAGTGTTCTTCTTTCGTTGCGGTAGTAGCTTTTGTAGATAATGGGCGCTATGTATGATTCTGAGGAGTCGTAATATTCCTAGGACTGTTGGGGGTTTTAGAATCTCGTGGGGGGGGGGGGGGGGGGGGGGGCTGCTAATGATAAAGTAGTTGATAGCTACTCTAGCTAATGAGAGTATAAACCTAGGATCTAATTTGTATCCTGTTTAGTGAGGCGATTTACCGAGTTTATGCCAAGATATGACTGTAGGACGCCCGTATATTATATATGTTTACGTATTTAGTTAAAGTAATGTATTACGATATGGGAGTATTAGGGTAGGATTAAAAATAGGACGTATATTGATAAAGATGTGCGTAAGTTTTATTATAGGTATTTACGATATTGCTAGTTTAAGTAGATGTTCGAGCTTATATTAGCGAGCCTTTATGCGGCCCGTAGCGGGCCGTGTAAGTATGCCCGTATTAGTGATGATTTAGGGGTGCGAATCCTGTAATCCCTATTATACTAAATTATTTATAATAGGTATCTTTAGTAGATGTGTATGGTTTTGAGATTGACGCGATTGCGGGGCCCCGTAGTAGAGAAGTTGAATTTTTTGAATCTATATAGAGGCGAAGGTTAAAAGTAAGTTTACGTGCTAAGGGGCCCGGCTATTAAATGATAGTCGATATGATTAATAAGATACTGTATTATTTGAAAAGTGAAGGATTAATTAATGGAAACTATTAATTAGGATTCCTTATTTGGTTTTTAACTTACTGATTTTTAACTATTATTTGTTATCGATGTGCTAAGATTGAGGAAATAGACTCTCTGAAATGTACGATATTTTCTAAAATGATGCCGAGGCCTTTTAGAAAAATGAATATACTATTGAAATTATATCAGACGTCGAGTTGTATCGAGACCGGTTTATGTAGTTAAAATTTACTTTATAGACCCCGGTAAACCTTTCTGCCGGCGTAACGACTGGTATCCTAGTTAGGGAGAGAAGAAGTATTTATTCTTCTTTTTCTGAAGGTGTATTTTGGATGTGTAGGCCTTATCGTAGTTTATTAGGGGCATTCTATCTGTGGCCTAGCAGGATACGTTCCCGATTTTGAAATGAGGCGATATTTCTTGTGGATTTTATTATTGTGATAAGAATCCTATGCCGATCTATAAATGTATATTAGAGCTTCTTTTTACCCTCCGTCTTGAACGTTATGAGATAAAGCGATCTGAATTAGAGATACTTTATTATAGGTAAGCTAGACGTAATAGAATGTTAAGTATAACCGCTACGAGAGTCTTGCTTTAGGGTAATTTGCGTTATTTAAGAAGCCGTAAAGTAGCTCTTAGGTGCGACTGAATTAAGTATAGCTGTTTATTATTTTAAGTATTAACGGAAGAGGGTCTAGAGTTTGGGAAAAGTAGTTCTATTTATAGAACGTAAGCGTCTCCTTTTCGGTCCTTATATTAGGAAATTATTATAAGAAATGTGGTTATTTCTGTTGGTAGATATCGACGTTATAACGGTTTCCGTAATTCTTTGTAATGGCTTTATAATTATTATCTATTAGTTAAGATTCCGGGATGCTGGAATGTATTGTAGAGACCTCGAATCGAAAGCTTCTTTCGAAATATATGGTCTAGGCTGAGATTATAAGAGCTAAGCCGCTAAGGTATTTTTCGGCGGATTTAAAAATTTTGATATTGGCGCTTAATGGAGTTGGAAGTGGGTAGGATTAGAGACGTAGTAGACGAGATGATTATAAAGGTAATATACTAAGGAAATTAGTAAATCGTTTGAATAAAGAAAATACGGGGGATATTATTGAGTATGCTGAACCTGGTATTAATATAACGGGGCCAGGGAGTTATCTATGACTGTAAGATCGTTAGGAAATCTTGTGGTTTATTCGTGACTTGATGTCGTGGCCGAGAGTTGACTGAAAGTTGATGAGAATGTAGATGTGGTTGAGGTTAGTATGATATGAATGAGGCGTAAGGTACCTGTCCTCGGGAGTACGTATATTTGAATGCTTTCCCTTTTTGATTATATCGGAGGAAGTTAAGGAAGAAATGAGGTAAATTTGGGATAGTATTAGTTATTGGCTAAGGTAGATGGGAAAGAACTCTCTGCTATCTACCCTAGAGGGTAGTTATTAATCGTATGCCTGCCTATTTAGAAAAGCCCCCAAGCTTTTATTAGCTTCTATGACTCTCTTCAGACCTAGCTAGAATCTGGTTATCTGTAAGTAAGAAATCTCTAGTAGTATTAGTAATATTATCTATCTTTTTATTACTTTGGTAAACACTAGTGGTAATGTCGATGCCGCTGCTTAGTCCAACCGATGCCACCTATAACGTATTACTGTCCTGCCGTTAAGTGACGATAACGCTCAAGAATGAATGCTTTAAATGCCGATATGGATACGGGTAAGAACGTAGCCGAGGAGGGCTCTAGTAAGTATGAATAGTTCTATGAATATTGTGAACCTTTTATTTACTATGCTTTAAGGTCCTTTCTTTTTATTTACGCTGGTTATAGATCCATATAAGATGAAATCATATGTTGCTGCCTCCGTTGTTCGCTTTGATGTATACGGCGGAGTATATCGAAGCTTTTTGGGGTTGTTAATATTGGGTTGAGCAAAACCCTGCTTGAGCTTGCCGAGGTTAGACTTTGGACTCCTGGCAATATCTATCGAGGCGTAAATACTGGTGTCAACGATGAGTAGATAGCTATAAATATGGTAAAGCTTATGCTGAAGACGCTAGCTACCTAAAGAGCATGAGTGGCCAAACTAAGCCAGCGGTACTAATGGCGACCGGGACGGTTAGAACTACGAAAAAAGCGGCATTACCTAAAAGCAAAGCTGTTGCTCCTCCTAAGACCGTTGTCGTTGCAGTAAATGACAGGGAAGATGATCCAATGCTATCTTAATAAAGGTGAGGCAGTAGTAGAGCTCCTCGAGGAAGCGAAGCAGATGTCCAGCAACCGGTGAGAGTCAGGGTCCAGATTGGCGGGGCTACTTGCTCAATTGAACAGGGCATCAAGGGGTCGTCCGTTGACTTCGCAATTAGAACGCGGAGCTAACTTGGTTTGATCACCTTCTGTGACGGAAAGGAGAATTTCGTGCACCTGAAGGAGACGGCACTGGTCTCCAAGCGACTTGGGAATGGGACATGGCGGTAGATATGTTGCGTATGAGCAGCAAGCAGTGAACAGATACTAGACCGACTCGCTACCGTGGAGCGCTGGCTTAATTTTAAAGTACATGCGTAGTCGAATCATGTTCAGAGCAGCAGATTATAAAACGAGGTAGCAAGGAGCAACGAAGGCACGATGTTAGCTTCTATTGATTACAGCGATTGAGACGAGTCAAGTACCTGACTGTTGTGACTCACTGGCACCTTTTGATTGGGTGTTGCTGTCTAGGTAGACAATCTTATCTTATCGTGTTTTAGCTCAGATTATCTTATCTACTACCAATCAGGTGCCTAAGGTACCCTACCGAGTCCCTTTCATTCCATTGGCTTGCTTGGCTGAAGAAGGTAGAGACAGAAACCCCTCTACGTGGGGGTCAGCACAGGCCCCCCAAAGCAGCAGTGCCATCCCAGTTGACTTACCACTTCGTCACACCTGAGATGCACACTTACACAATTGTACACCCTCTGTGGCTCTCAACTCTCCCTGACAACCCGAAATAACGCGTAGCCAACAAAATCATCAAAACACAAACGTTTGCGGCTGGTCCCCTCCTCCCTCACACGCAAGTTTAGGCCCACGATAATAATGAATCTGGCTTCGTCCCCTACCACTATGCCACGGATACAAGCATGCGCGATGCCGTTCTCGGTTTGCCCAAAGTTGTGCTGCATCCATCGGCATCCCAGTTGAGAGATCTAGAGAGATTGACACCTCTACTACAGAATACGTGTGCTCGTCTACGTCCAACCTAACCTTATGCTTCACATGGCAACATCTCACGATGTCCGGGAATCGATGTCCCCAGTGAGCTCCACGGAGACAGACACAGAACCACACCCCACCGACTGTTTCAATACTCTACGACTCCACGTTGGCAACTTAGGACCCGACCTCGGCCTTGTCCGTTAGCCAGTAGAACTCTGCTTCTACGACTCCTTTACGCCAAGCAGCAATGCTCCTCTCTCGTTGCACTACCGGCACGACGGCGTCCTTTCCTACCAGACTCCGTCTACCCTACCAACACCCACGCCGCCCTGTTATATAATCGAATGCGACAACATCGGCTTCCTCCCTCCTGAGTCGACCGAATTGCCCCCCCCCCCCCCGAGACGATTGAATCCACCTCCTGCGAGACGACTTCGCTACCCGTAACTACAAATACCTCCAGATACTAACTACTCATTCGTGCCAGCTACTACTGCGTGTTGATCGTCATATTTGGCCTCGTATTATCTAATCGGCTCATTTGTCTACTGTTATTACCGCTACTACCATCATCGTGGTAACTGGCTTACACCCGATACCTCATGAAGCCTATCGTAGTCCTTGATGAGCTCCTTGCTGTTGCAGAGGCTTGGGCAGCAGTTCCTCTTAAGCTATTCGGCCCCTGCTCCCACGCCTACGCCCATGACTACGGGCATGACGATGGCGAGTACGGCGACAGCGATCTTAGCAGAAACAAGACGTATCCTCTAGCACTCATAAGCCAACTTACAACCGAGCTATCAAGCGCAATAACTCAAGAAGCGCTGTTCGACCCGATACTGGAATGCCATATATGCTTCGAAAGCCTAGAAAAGTCCGCTAATACTGCCACGAGTGTCTGGGAGCTTCGTCTCGAAATCGCCCTTGGCTTTTTGTAGCTGCCCAATGTCCTCCAACATCTCGAGTAGATATACGACCGAGTCCATCGTATTAGAGATAAAGCCGACTCCTTTTTCTCCTCCTCCTCCTCCCCGGAGTACGCATATACTAGTCGTAATACCGATCTAGCCCGTCGGTATGTACATGTCTCGTCGGACGGCTTTATAACAGTTATTAACCCCGGTACTGCGGAGGACCTTATCAATGGCTATAACACCATACTCCTTACGACCCTGCTTGGAAATAGCCACTGTTAATTCTTTTGTGGTTGTTATTCTAAACTAAACCAGGTATTTTACCTAGTTTGTTAACTCCTAGTAACGCTGAGTGACGGTAAAGTACACGAGACCCCTGGTCTAGTATACTTTCTTGAATACTAGTACGATAGTGGTGGCTTAGCCCGAGACGACGGTGATGGAGCCGACGATGACGAACCGCCCATGGTCGCGTTGGTCCGCGATTTCGCCGCACTGAATTCTAAACTAGACCGTTACCTCGGCCGTGCTACAGATCTGTGTCTCTGGGACCCGTTTGCGCCTTAAGTAGTAAAATACGAAGGTCTGCTGGGTATGGCCGCCCTTTGGGGCGCGGCGCCGTGGTCCGCTATCACTGTTACCGAGGTTAGGTTGGACGGGTCGCTGTATGTGCCCGTATCGTCTAAGAGGGTGCGCGCAGTTTTAGCGTCGTTAAGGACAATGTGCCCACATGACCTCTTCTCTTAGTAGCTTGATGCCGTTGAGGCGCTTGTGTTAAATTTGGGAACTCTGCACCTGTCTGCAGAACAGCCGGGACCTGGTGGATGACCTTGGCTGCGGTAAACGGGTGTACGTATCTGTCGAGGCTGAGCCTGTTATTATGAGCCTGGATATAGAAGAGGGGGCGGGTGTGTAGCTGCAAGGGCCCGCCGTCTTCTCCCACTGTGTTCTTAAGTAACCATCAACAGAAGCGGAACGGATTGTGGCGGTGCATGCCCGCATACAGAAGATTTTAATAGGGATGGCGGCCAGGTTCACTCGAAAATAGTGATTGAACTCTTGGTTCACCAGTACCACTAGTGATCAGTGTGCCAGTGGACTTGAATCCAGGTCTGCCCGAAATGAACGGAGTTAGTGGACTTGAATTCAAGTTCAATCGGAATCTGTGGGCTTGAAGTGGACTGGAATCCAAGTCCAACCGAAATAGATAGTGAGCTTGAATTTTCAGTTTCTCTCGAAGTCAAGGGACTTGCGTCGTGATTTCCGGCCACCTTATAGAATGGAAGATCCTATATCTTCCATAGTGGTCTTTATCGAGTTACTCTATTCGAACTTGCGTTTGTAGACTTCAAGCTAGACTTCAAGCGCCGGGAGAGGTTCGCCGCTTCATCTCATCTTATCTTATCGAGTATCGGGGCACCCTCCGAACAGCAGCACCCTGCTTTTCTCCTTTTTATACTGGTGGCTCCTCTCCCAACAAGAGACGCCATGGCCGCGACAGGAGGCAGGCGATGGATGATCTGCTTTATCTAAATTCTTCGTGTCTCTTCGTATTATTCGTGTATCTTTTGTGACTTATTCCATCTCTCCCGACTACTTAGGATTCCATCAGAGCGGCGAGAAGGCGGAAGGCAGGAGGACCGTTGGGTAAATTAGAGGGTCCTGCTCGCTTATACTGGGAGCAACGGCCGGCCAGCGACCAAGTCTTCGTCAATTCACACAGGACCATACGACAAGACCAATCAGTTAAGGTTTCCCTAGTATATTGCGCCTCCATACCGGTCATACTGCTCTTCTCCCCTCTAAACTTGCAACAGGCAGTCACTAGAACTTCTAGATAACCGCCATCTCTTAACGGTAAATATCCGATCATCGTTTTTTTAGAGGCGTTTGCTGGTCAACCTTCCAAAATATGCTTCCTTTCAAGCAGCGACTCGAAATGTCTGGTACTCCCTTTCAATCCCGTTCGCCAAAGGTCTTTTCGAATCTCGACGGCAATCCGGTGACGGAAATGAATGATTCGATACGCACAGCAACGGCAATAGCCCTCAAATCTACGCGACCATAAGACAATAAAACGTAAGATTATGTACTACAGGACCACGATCGAACTGATACCTAGAGGAATAGGGGACAATCGCGAAGCAAGAGCCTATAATAAGACGTTCGGAAGTGACCGTACGGGGAAATTGTGGGCGACTGACAAATGGTTGATTCATTGCCTTGGTTGGCGTTCATTAATGCTTTAAGAGATTCCGATATCCATGGCAAAACCGCAAAAACATACAACACCGGGAGTTCGCTGGTCGTCACCGACCCAACTACTAATCCAGCCCTCATTGGCTTGTCTAAGGGAGAGCGGACGGGATCCCGAGTTTTCCAATGGGTATGGTCGTATGTGGTGATACCAGGCAGTGAATTTGATCATGTTGCTAACTTGTGGGAGAATGTTTGATCTCAGTTGGGGGCGGGCTGAGCCCCTCGTACGTGGAAGTGAGTGCTCCGATCGAGCACTCACTTCCCCACTCTTTTCTGGCGGCACCTTCCACCTCAATTGCTCGCTACTAACTGTCTACAGGCGGCATATCTGATCAGTGATCCAAGTGTGAGTTCCGAGGCCCTGATAATGTTGAGTCTTGATATTAAGCGCAGACCACAGGACTTTGGCGGTATTATCTTGGCGGCGCAGACGATGGCATTGGCATAGTTTCTCGAATTGCAGCCGCTGCCGCAAGTTATATGTCGACTGATCTGTTCGACCTCGTCCACATCGCGTATCGGCGATGGCAGATGAATGTGGAAACTTCGTGTTCAATCCAGAAACCTACTTAGTCCAATACCTTCCTACTATAAGCGACAAGGACCATTGTGGAAAGTGAACACCAGAAGAAAGTGATAACCATGCTAATCGACACCATCTAGAATATGCCCCGTCTTCCGTCGATACGTCAAGACCAAGAGTGGGGACATCTCTCCTCGTGACGGGCCAAGCGCGTCTGACGCGGAAAAGTCCAAAGAGCCCCCGAGGAACCGTGCTCACGTTGTTGTTGTGGTCAAATTTTAACGTGCCCGTTGTTACGGGCTGGACCCGATTAGTGGATCCGGGCTAGCGCCCGGATATTCTACCACGATTAACCGCACAGGCTCAATTCTACCTCTATTTTATCTCTATTAAAGCTCTACTTATAAATCCCTTTTTAATAATTTAAATTTTATATATAGAAATTACCTTTATATAGCTTTATATAAGCTATACCTTTAATATATTTAAGTTTTTAATTATAATTTATTTTATTAATAATTATATAATATATTTAAAGTCAACCAATTAAAAGCTAAATTAATAATTAAGCTTTAAATTATAAAAATGATTATTATAGGCCTATAATAATTAATTTAAAAACTAATAGTTATAAAAAATAATGAAAAAGCGGAACTAAAGTAATAAAAAAATAAATATAAAATAGACGCTATAAAAAAAAAGTTAAGATAAAAAAACTCGGTTAATATTTAATATTTATTTTAATAATATTTTAATTAACTTAATATCCTATTTATTAAAGTAAATAAGAAATATTACGACCTAATATACATAACTAAGACTAGGGCCTACCCTACAGGCTTATAGGGCTACAGTATAACTATATATATATAGGTAAGCAGAATATATACGTCACCTTAACGGAATAAAAAAACTATAAATCAAGTTACATAACGATAAAAAATAAGGAGATCCATATATTAAAAATACGGATCCCGTCCTTTTATAATACAGAGCCCGTATATTTAAAATACGGAGCCCGTTAGGTAAATATATAAATAAAGGATATATTTACAAACGAGACTTATATATAATATAAACTTAAGCCGGGCTTAAGGATAAACTTCTTATAGCTTCTATAGCAATTAATTTAGTATTAGATTTTACGATTATTTTCAGCTATCTTTATTAAGAACATCTCTAATAAGACTACGATTAATTACTAAAGCCTTACCTACTTTATAATTTATAGATATAGCTTTAGGGAAGCTATCTACGACTACGATACTATTTACTTAGCCCTTGCAGCCTTAACTTCTATTAATATACTCACTACGACTAGCTGGCCGTAATAAGAAACGTATAAATAATAAAATACTTACAATTTTAAAATTAAATTAAAATACCTCTTTATTTTACCGAAATTCGCTCTCGGACTTAATTATAGTTTTAAGTAATAAAGAAAGATATAGCGTTTAAAAAGCCTAAATATATAATAAGTTTATTATTACTAGTTATATCTTTTTATTATACTAATAAAGAACGCCGCTACTTTATTTATTTTTTTACCTCCCAAATTTAAAAGGTCGTTCATCATTTTTATTATAAAAAGAAAAAGAAAGAGAAGCGGGATTTTAATAAGCTTCTGAAGTACCTGTCTTTAAGCATATGGCGATCTTTATTAAATTAAAAACGTATTTAATAAATTATGAATTATAATAATATAAAGAATTTTTACTACATTCCTTTCTCGATTTAAATATATCTTTATAAATATAAATAGCTAAAATTAGCTTACGGATATTACAATTTAATATTTAATATATACTTTATTTTAATATTTCTATAAATATATAATTACCGCCCTATAAAATAAATCCTTATATGTAAAGTTTATATATAATGTATAAATTATAACTAGAAATCTAAAAAAAGAATATAAAATTGATTAACATTACTTATTTATATTAATCTTATAAACCTATTAAATATTTGAGAAATAGATCAATAATAATGATAATTTAATTATAACGGGAGCCGTAAAGGCTATAAAGACTAATTAAAACAAGAAACTATTATTTACTTACTTTAATATTTATTAATATTATAATTATAATAAGACCGGTTGTATTATAAAGAACTATAAATAAAAGCGGGAACCTTATGTAACTTAAATAATATTTAATAGGGACTATATATTACGACCTAATATATATAACTAAGACTAGGGCCTACCCTATAGGCTTCTAGCGGCTACAGTACACTATATATACGTATACGGACGGAATATATATATTATCTAAAGAATAAAAGAACTATAGAATAAGTTACGTATAAATAAAAAAGGTAATTATATAATAAAGTAATTATAATAATTACTTTAAGTAAGTACTTACTAATATCTACTTAATAATTACTAACGAATAGAATATATATATAAAATAAGAAATATATTTATATTTAGGACCTATATATAATATAGATTTAAACCGGGCTTAAAAATAGACTTCTTATAACTTCTTTAATAATTAATTTAGGGAATTGATATATAGGCGTCGTAAATTAATATACAGGCGTCGCTCTTACACGGGCATCGCTATTCGACCTTTTAATTAGTCTAAAAAAAATTTATTAATATAGTTAAATTCTACTAGATACCTATAAAGTATCCTAAGCCTTTATTTTTTTACTCCTTTTACGTTTAGGTTATATTATCAAGCCTTAAAATCTAACTTATAATATTTACCTATAATAGCTTCTATAATTAAAATTAGAGACGTTCCTTAAAATTAATTTTAAAATAATACCCTTATTAAAAGACTTCCCTCTTTATAAAAGTAACTATTAATTAATTACGGCCTCTTACTATTATCCGGCTAACTATTATTATCTCCTTTTTTAAAAAATAACCGCCTTAATATTAATTAATTCTATAAAGTTAATAATCTTAAAAAGTAGTATAACCTTATTACCGAGCTCTTAACCGGTATATTATAAAATATATAACCTTTTATAAATAATTACCTTAATATAGAGCTTATATTATACTTTATTTACTATTTCCTTAAAAGAACAATAAAAACCTAGTAAACTACCCTCCTATAACTTTATTTAAAATATAACCCCTTTCCCCTTAATAAATAATCTTAATAATTTTCCTATCCTATAACAGAGTAATTTAATAATGCTCTTAGTTTGTTAAATAGGTTATTAAGATTAATTAATAGCTAATAACGGTATTACTTTAATAATAAAAATATATCTATTAATAGTAAGAAATATAGGGTCCCTAAATTAACCTATTACCCTATTTACCCCTATAATTATCCTTTATTTAAAATATAATATCTTTCTAAATTATAGCCTCTTATTATATTCTAAATAATCGATCCTCTTTTCTTTTTATAACCTAAATCTTAAACTTATTAATTCTTAATAATCTAGAATAAACCCATAATACCCTTTTTAACTAAGTTAATAACTTTATAAAAGCTAATAGATTTAATATTATAAAGTAGAATAAGTATAAAGTTCAAGGCTAAATTATTTGATATACTTTCTAATATAATCGGTTTAATAAGCCTAGGCCTATAAAAGATATTAGTATTTAATAATATAAGTTTTATAAATATAGTTATAAATAATAAGTTATTACCAAGGCTTAAAAGAAAGATAAATAGCTATTACGTTATTATCCAGACCCCTAGTATAATTAATATAATTATAGCCCTAGCCTTAAAACCTCTATATACCCTTTATATTATAGGCTTACCAAAATAATTTAGGATATAATTAAAATTATAAACCGATAAGTTAGGATTTAGGCTTATAATATATATACTATTATTTAAAAGTAGTTTTTAAAGTCCTTATTTACCTAATAAGGTATCTATAACGCTAAGGCTTATATAAGCCAAGAGAAACTAGTTAGATATTTATTAATTATAATATTAATTAAGCTATTTAATAAATAAGATATCTTATATATAGTAAAATAGATAAATGATGAGCTAAACCGCTTTATTAGCCTTATTTAGACCTTGCCTTATTATTTTTAAATATAGAAGTAATTTTTAAGGTAATTAGCTTCGATAATACTTATAATATTAATTACTTTAAGCTCTATCTTTTTTAAGTTATTAAATAGACCTATTTTAGATCTATTTATAACGCTATATTCGGCCTTATTAATAATAAGAGATTAAAAGGTTTCCGGTTTCTCTTAATAAATATCCGCTAATTTATAAACTAATACTTAATCCGTTACCCTAATATTATTATTATAAATTACGATAAATAGATAAAGGCTATATTAAATAAGTAGTTCCCGGACGTTTAATAATAACTTTATATCTATTATATTAATTTTAACATTATACTTAAGGTTAAATAGAAATAAGTTAAGGACCATAGCTATAATAATAATAGTAATAGGTCTAATAATAAGGGATATTAGCTAGTAATATAAATAATAGCTATACTAAATAATAAGGATAAGGCCTATATTAATATACCTATTAATGAGCCCCCCCCTTATATATATTATAGGGTCCTTATAATATAAAAGCTTATTATTTTTACTAAAATTAAATATATTTTTAAAAAAGCCTAGACTAAGCTTTATAAAAAG